GTGGCCCAGTGGTTAAATGCAGCACTGCAGGCTACTTCAGCTGACTGCAGTTCTGCAGTTCGGCTGTTCAAATCTCACCGGCTCAAGGTTGACTCAGCCTTCCATCCTTCCGAGGTGGGTGAAATGAGGACCCGGATTGTTGTTGGGGGCAATATGCTGACTCTGTAAACCGCTTAGAGNTGAGAAATCTATCTTGTATTTCAAATACTATATTCTGCATCCGTCAAATATATTATGAGCATTCTTCATTGCAAATGAGACCCAGTATTGTTTAGTACTCTGTATATGTTCAGGAGCACATCTTCTAACAAGGGGTAATGCTGACTTCAAACAGGATTATGGGTTGAGACCAGCTTCTAAACTATGAACTAATAGGTAATCTGGAATTAAGGATTACTAAAATAAGTGCAGAAATCCCAGGACTAGGGTGGCAAAATGCCCAGTTAGGATTTTCAGTTGATCTTTTCAATTTTTGACACTTGGCAAGCAGCTGCCAAATGCAGCTGAATGAGATAACATACCTCTTACTTTAATTTTAAATTTCAAAAGCCAGGATTGGGAAAAATGGTTTCCTGTATGGAATTATTCTTGGGAACCTTTGGAAAATGGCAAGTTCTGGAAACCCAAAATAAGAGGCAAAGATCCTGAGAAGCCAGGAACAGAAAATACTTAGCAGAAATTACATACTTCTATAAATGGAAATAATGATATGCTTATTCATAGCAAGGAACTGACAACCGTGAGTGAGGTTTGGGAGTAATTAAAGAAACTTACCTATAAAAACTCGGCTTGTTCCATCTTCCTAATGAAAAACAATGTGCTATTTAAGATGGCAAGATGGCACAAGCATCTCAGACTATGTGAACCAAATGCTTGATCCAAGCAAAACTGCTTTAAAATAATGTGCATTGCAAGGTGAAGTAATATAGAAGTTGCTTTCCTTGTGATGTTTATGTCCCAATGTTTTAATATGCTGAAGCAAGCAATAGGAAAACCTACTTTGGATCAGATAATATCCAAAATAGAGTGCAGGAATCCCTAATAAGAGAAATTATTTGAGATAATTTGAAAACTGGAGAAAAATCCAGCTTTATTTGCAACCGCAGATTACAGTTGAGGGTATTTTACCTGAAAAGGATCTAAAGCAGGGGTATCGAAATCGCGGCCCATGTGCCGGATGCATCATGCGCTGGCCACGCCCTCCCCCGTTTTAATAAAGGGGGGAAAAGTCGCAATACATCAAATGAATCAATGGTGACACCACGAGTTTGACACCTCTGGTTTAAAGGGTCTTCCCAACGCTTTAAAGATGTGAATGGAAAGAGTTCAAGCCAATATCAAGGGTTTTTCTCTCAAAAGAAGGAAAAATGATCAGGATGGGAAAAGGCTGAAGAAGAGAACAGAACTAAACCCAAAGGGCAAAGAATAATGCACTCTGTGAAAGAATTGTTCAGAGTAAGAAACAAAAAAATTCAGAGTAGTCTCAATTCAGTTTACTTGCATAGAGGAGCAACTATATGTTTTAAAATAAGGATATTTTTTTTGTGACTCTTGAAACAAGCTGTAAAGGGCAGATACAGGAATAAACAGACAGCAAATAAGCTCACAAGAGATTAGGGAGGCTAATAAAATGTAGACTGATGAAAAGACAATTGCTTTACACGTTGCACTGTACTCTCCAGATTTGAGCTCCAAATGATTGAGTGTTAATTATGCAGTCAGAAAGATACATAAGAGTTTAATTTGCGGATGGAAATTGCTCAATAAGAACAAGAGATGGAGATCTGTTGTTGAAAGGAATATTGTTAGAATCTAAACTTTTCAGAGTAATTCTCTGATAAGAGGCAACCAGCTGAGCTTGAAAAGGAGGCAAGAGAAATTGGACTGAATCTTGGCATAGAAGACTAGAACAGAATATAGAGCAAATCAGGCAGATACAAAGGGAAGAATTGACCATCAGTTTTGAAATCATGCATAACAAATATGCCAAGCTATGCTGCTCTGTACATCTCTGTACAGAGAGCCGAGGTGGCGCAGTGGTTAAATGCAGCACTGCAGGCTACTTCAGCTGACTGCAGTTCGGCTGTTCAAATCTCACCGGCTTAGGGTTGACTCAGCCTTCCATCCTTCCGAGGTGGGTAAAATGAGGACCCGGATTGTTGTTGGG